CTCCTCCCTCCTCCTCCTCCTCCTCCTCCTCCTCCTCCTCCTCCTCCTCCTCCTCCTCCTCCGCAACAACCAGGCTGGCCTGCGCAGGCCCAGGTCGGCTCGCCGCCCCACCGTGCAGTGGGCTCGGTGTGAAGGCCCCGGCCGGGCGCCTCCGGGCGCTCTTCGTGGCGAGGTCCAGTCTGAGGTCGGGCGTGTCCCCCTGCAGGCCGATTTTGGTCCTCCTCCTCCTCCTCCTCCTCCTCCTCCTCCTCCTCTTTCTCCTCCTCCTCTCCTCCTCCTCCTCCTCTTTCTCTCCTCCTCCTCCTCCTACCTCCTCCTCCTCCTCTTTCTCCTCCTCTTTCTCCTCCTCTTTCTCCTCCTCTTTCTCCTCCTCCTCCTCCTCCTCCTCCTCCTCCTCCTCCCGCCCGCCCTCCACCGGGAGTCCCCAGGGAGACCGCGGGCGGCACCGCGCAAATTGAGAGCAGTCGGCCTGGGGCGCCAAAAAGGGAGAGAGGGGCGCGGAGAGGGGAGGCCCAATGTAGGGGAACAAGAAGTGGCATAAACATAAAAAAACAACTCGGAGGTCCGCGCGGACCTCCGAGTTTTTACGTTTATGTCACTTTTGGTCCCCTACAATTCTGCATGCTGCACCGCTCCTGGATGGCGCTCTCGAGCCTGCGCAGAGCGTGGCGCCCCTCTGGAAGCGTGACCGGGGCGGGCCCCGCGCGGGCGGCAGCCGAGGTCGCATAGGGAGGGCGCACGCGAGGGCCAGCTCAACTCCCTAAGTTGAAGTCGGGCCTGTCCCCCTACAGGCCGATTTTGGACCAAATATGTTTCCAAACAAATGTCCCACAAATGCCCTACAAATGCTCAAAAATTGTCAAAAAAAATCCCCAGACTTTTTTTTGACCATTTTTGAATATTCCCCCTGTAGAGGGACAGGCCCGACTTAAGTCTAGTCTCGGGTCGGGCGTGTCCCCCTCAAGGCGAATTCTGGACCCAAACAACCAAAGTAATTAAACAGACTCACGAATGATCAACACATGCTCCAACATACTTATAACAAAAAGCGGCTATTTGTTTATCATGTTTGAATATTCCTCCTGTAGAGAGACAGTCCCGACTTAAGCCCAATGTGAACCTTGGTTAAGCCCCCCAATCTGCTGGCCTCCCGCAGCAGCACTCGAAAAGGGGCGGCAGCTTCGCAGACCGCAGCCCCCCCAGGGGTGGCAAGGTCCAATCTGAGTCTGGGTATGGCCCCACTGCGCTGGCCCCCCAGCAGCCCTCGAATAAGGGCGACAGTTTCGCAGACCGCAGGGGCTGCGGCGCAGCCCCACAAAGGTGACGAGGTCCAATACGAGTCTGGGTATGGCCCCACTGTGCTGGCCCCCCCCCCCCCCCCCCGGATTGGCGACCATTTCGCAGATCGCAGCGTCCCAAGGGGTGGCGAGATCTAATATGAATCTGGGCATGGCCCCACTGTGCTGCCTCCACCCAGCAGCCCTCGAAAGTGGCGACAGCTTCGAGATCGCGGCCCCCCAGGGGTGGCGAAGCCTGATCGGAGTCTGGGTAGGGCACCACTGTGCTGCCTGCTGCCCCCACCGAGCAGCCCTCGAAAGTGGCGAGAGTTTCGCAGATCGTAGCCCCCCAGGGGTGGCGAGGTCGGAGGCAGCTGCGTACGAGAGAGGTACAAGACAAGAGGAGAGAGCGAGAGAGAGAGAGAGACAGAGAGAAAAATAAAGAGAAAGAGAGAGAGAGAGAGAGAGAACATTTAAAAAAACGAGAGAAATATAAAGAGAGACCAACACAGAAACATAGAGAGAGGGAGAGAGAAAGGAGTGAGACAGAGAAATAGAGAGAGAGAGAGAGAGAGACAAAAAGGGAGGCGGGAAGGAGGAGGAGGAAGGAGACGCGACCACAGTGCTCTATGCAAAACGAGAACCCAACAATGGAGGGCTGGGTGGGGAAAAAAAACACTCGGGGCCAAACATTTGGGGCCAAGATCGGGGACAGAAGACAGGGGGGGCGGCCATCCTCGGCAGGGTGCGTCCGAACGGCCCCCTGGGAGGCGTGTGTCCCCAAGTTCCCACCCCCTGCTCTGAACGGCCTCCTTTTTCGGTCGGAATTCGGGGATTGGGGGCGAGAAATCTCCTGCCCCCTGAGATCCTGGCGTCGCATTTCCCTTCTCACGCTTCGCTAGAGGGCTCTAATAATTGCCCACGGGAGAGTCCCACAGGGAGACGAGGAGCCCTATACCGCCCGGTACGGGCGATTGTGCCTTGTTCTGGGCCCCAGGACCCTCACGGATCGATCTGGCGCGTATAACTGCAACAGAAAGATGAAGTCCAGGGCTCCGGTCAAAAGAAAAACAAGACGGCTCAAAGATACGCCCAGGAGGCCTCCAAAGGTCCCCAAAGCCTTTGAGAAGCATTCGCGAGGCCCCCGAGAGGCCTTCCAACGAGGACCCTGCGCCAATAGGCCTGCGGCAAACGGGAAATGGTTCGGCGGTGTCAGCAATCGAAGCGCAGGCCGTTACGACACCAGCAGGCGAAAGATCGCGCCAAGAAGTCACGCGATTTTGGTTCGACGCTCTTTCGCACCCTCCAGGTGGCGTTCTCGCATCACGTGATCGGGTCCGCCTCGAAATTCGAATCAAAACGCACCCCAAGAAAAGTTCGGGTGGCGCACGGATCTGTAAAGCAAGGGCACGAGCAAATAGGAACGGGCGAGGGGACTGGACATGAAACGGCCAAAATTCAAAGACCCAAGGGGATGGCGCCAAGTGCAAACATATGCAAGGTTTGCGGAATCAAGGTGCATGGCGCGAAGCACCAATGCAGACTCGTATGTAAATTTAGAGAGAGATGTGTACGTATGTGTAGATGTATGTGTACGTGTAAATGTGTGTATGTCTATGTTTGTATGTGTAAGTCTATATGGATGTTTGACTGTGAAGTATGTGGATTAGTATGTGATGCTGTTTATGAGTATGAGTATGCATACGTTTATGTATATGTAGTAGGTGTCTATGTATATGTGCGTGCATGTGCATGTGTTTTTATGCATGCGCACGTAGACGTGCATGTGCATGTGCATGTGTATACATACATACATATATATATATATATATATATATGTACGTGTGCATGTACTTGTATACGTGTTTGTGTTTGCAGATGGATGGGTGTATATATCTATATGTGTGTATAGGTATATGTATTGTGAAGTATGTGTACATGCATGTGTACACGTGAATGTATAGGTTTATGTAAAGGTATATGTGTATGTGTTTATATGATGATTCATGCATGTACGCTTATGTGCATAGCAATGGCGATGGATTTGTACATGTATATGGCATGCGAATGTATACGTATATGAATATATCTACGTACGTGTAGGTGTACGTGCCTGTGCATATGTATATGTATGTGCACGTGTACATGTAGTTGTACATGTATAGATGTAGGTATGTGTAAGTGCAATGTTTATGTATATAAATATATACGGTTGTATATGTACACGAGCATATGTGCAAATCAGCTGTCGTTGTTTACCGAGCTCGAAGAGAACTGCCGTGAGGGAGCCGACTACAACGCCAGAGATCTTGGCACGCCTCCCCGATGAGGATCGGGCGCCCCAAGCTCGCCGCCGACAGGCGCTCGCACGGTCACGCCAGCAGCGGGGACCCCTCGCCGGGCGCTCCCCGCTCTGCCGCCTCGCCCCTGCGCCCCCCGAGGCAGCACGCGGCGCAGCCACGAAGCGGCCGGCACAGCCCGCAGGACAGCCAGCCCGGCAGCTCGCGCGCCTGAGCCGAGCTCGTGTCGCTCCTCCTCCTCCTCCTCCTCCTCCTCCTCCCGCTTCCTCCTCCTCTTCCTCCTTCTTCCTCCCCCTCCTTTTCCTCCTCCTCCTCCTCCTCCTCCTCCTCCTCCTCTTCCTCCGGCCACCTCCTCCTCCAACCTCCTCCTCCTCCTCCTCCTCCTCCGTCCTCCTACGCTTCCTCCATCCTCCAACCTCCTCCTCCTCCTCCTCCTCCTCCTCTTCTTCCTTCTCCTCCTCTCCTCCTCCTCCTCCGGCCACCTCCTCCTCCAACCTCCTCCTCCTCCTCCCTCCTCCTCCCTCCTCCTACGCTTCCTCCCTCCCCAACTCTCCTCCTCCTCCTCTTCTTCCTCCTCCTCCTCCTCCTCCTCCAACCTCCTCCTCCAACCTCCTCCTCCTCCTCCTCCTCCTCCTCCAACCTCCTCCTCCAACCTCCTCCTCCTCCAACCTCCTCCTCTTCTCCTCCTCCTCCTCCTCCTCCTCCCTCCTCCTCCTCACCCTCCTCCCTCCTCCCTCCTCCCTCCTCCTCCCTCCTCCTCCCTCCTCCTCCCTCCCTCCCCTCCCCGCTGCCCCTCCCTTTTCCCGCCTGCTCCTGAAGGGGACCGAGGGGGTGGGGACTGGGCTCAGCGGGGGTGAGGGGTGCAGTGACCTGGAAGCGGTGACACTTCGCCGATCCGATGGGTCGGCGGTAGCCCCCCCGATAGCGAAGCCGCACGTTCCTGGGCGGGGTGGGCTAGCAGGCCGCTTCGGCGATGAAGGGGCGAGTGGGGGGTCGATGCGCGTCCTCCGAGCCCAACGCTGCCCCCGACGAGCGGCGAAGCGCAACGGCCCAGGCCCGCGATCGCGCCGTGGGCCATCTTCGGCCCCAGGTGGCCCTCTTCGGCCCCAGGTGGCCCTGGACCTCTTCGGCCTCTGCCCGCGACGAACTGTGCCTGGCCACCGTCGACCCCAGGTGGCCCTCCCCAGGTCCAGGACCGTCAACAGACGACTCGGGATGCAAGCCCGGCCCCGGGGAAGGAGTCCAGAACTCCAGAGGGCCACGCTGCGAGGAGTCCCGAACTTTTGGGAGTCCCGAAGCGGTGCGGTGACAGACCGTGCGGTGACCTCGAAATCCCCCAAGACCTCACCGCACGGTCCGTCACCGCACGGTCTTGGGACCTCGGAGGCCCCAGTCGCCCGAGACGTCCTCGGAGGACGACCCGAGTCCCAAAACCGTGCGGTGACCCCGAATCCCCACTGACTCACCGCACGGTGTGGTCACCACCCCATTTGGGGGCCCCCAAATGGGGTGGTCGGGGGGGGGGGGGGGTCGGAAAACAGATCGCCTTCCCGCGGAGACGCGGAAGCCCACCTGGCATCAAAGAAACGGGTTCTGGAGGAACTGTCGGGTTCCGGGGGGGGGGGGGGTCGGAAGACCGATCGCCTTCCCGCAGAGACGCGGAAGCCCACCCGGCATCGAGGAAACGGGTTCTGAAGGAAAGGGGCGCTGGAAATCCTTCGCCGCTGGCGGGCCCCTGGGCGCCCTCCACGGGTCCCGGGACCGTCCTCCTCCTCCTCCTCCTCCTCCTCCAACCTCCTCCTCCTCCTCTTCTCCTCTTCTCCTCCTCCAACCTCCTCCTCCTCCTCTTCCTCTTCTCCTCCTCCTCCTCCTCCTCCTCCTCCTCCTCCTCCTCCTCCTCCTCCTCCTCTGGTCCAACTCCTCCTCCACCTCCGCGCGCGCCCCTGCGCGCGCGCCGCCCGGCGCGTGCCATGAGCAGGAGAGGCACCACTGCAAACCTAAGACGCAGCAGCGATGTTGTATAGTCAACCCGTCTACAGTCGGGGCGTTGACCTACAACCCCGTGCGAAAAGCAACTGGGGTTTTCGTACACACCTCCCCCCCCCCCACCCCCCAATTTCAATGTTCAACGCGGGGTCGATTTTTTTTTCCCCCGAATTTCGCTGGTCGCACGATGAACATTGAAATTCGGGGGCCGGGGGGCTCACCAAACCCCAGTTGCTTTTCGCACGGGGTTGTAAGGAACCCTAAACAAGGAACGAGGCTCCCTTTTCCATAAATGAGCCTTCGATTTCCTGTCGAAAACACAAGGGAAGCCTGAGGCAAGCTGTGAAACACTGAAGGAACGCGGAGCCCCTCCCCAACGAAAAGGGTTCCTTCTTCAGGGCCCCGACTATATTAGGGATGCGCGATAAGGATGCAAGGGCCTTGGACGCCCCCTTGGACGCCCATTTCGAAGCCTTTCGAGTGGGTCGCGGTCAACGGAGGTGGCGAAGGATGGACCGAGGAGGCGATGATGCAAGGGTACCCTTGGGAAGGCTGCCCATTCTGACTGTGCGGGTTGACTGTAACCCCCCCCTGCACGCTCCATTCTCGTAGGTCCCTACAATACTGCAATGTATCTTCAATGCGGGACGTCTGAGAAGCTTCAATCGTGCCAAAAACTCTGGGACTCTTACGCCGCGGATCAACGTGACTGTTGCGTCTTGACAATCCTCAAAAACCATGCCAGATTACCAGTCTTGGGATTTCATAAGATCTTAACACCGCAGTTCCAAGTTACTGATGCGTCCGACAACCCTGAATCGTGCCAGAACGGAATTCCTGGGGTTTCACTCGTACGATTCCTTGAAGCTGCTACAAGTTTTTAAGGCGAACGTGTGCGATGCTAAGGCGGGCGCCGCTCTTTGAAGATAAACCCCCTACCTTTGAAACTATTGCAAACTTTGGAAACGAATGTGCGCGGCGCTAAGGCGAGAGCCACATGTTGCCTCGTCCCCCAGTGTGTACGTGTGTATATATACTAGAACCATCGCGCGCGCTCCGCGCGCGCTCAAGTTCTAGCTAGGGTCATGGTCATCGTCATCATTGTCATCCTCATCCCCGTCATCTTCATCGTCATCGTCATGGTCATGTTCACCTTCACCATCACCATCACAACAATCATCAATATCACAATTATCATCAGCATCGTGATCACCATCGCCATCATCATCATCATCATCATCATCATCATCATCATCATCATCATCATCATCATCATCATCATGATCGTACTTTTCAGCATCACCATCCGCATCATCAACATCTTGTTGGTCGTCGTCGGCGTCGTCGTCGGCATAGTCATCGTCATCATCATCAGCGTCATCGCCGTCATCATCCCTGGTCCACTGCAGTCCCCTCACCCTCCTCTTCCCGTTCCCCCTCCTCCCATCATCTAATACTCATCCTTTTCCTCCTCGGCGTCTCCCTGAAAGGGATCCCTTTTCATTCACCTCCTCCTCCTCTTCTTCCTCCTCCTTCTCCTCCTCCCTGTCTTCTACGCTCCTCGGTGTGTCCCTCCTTGTGCTCCTTCACCTACTTCACCTCCTTCCTCTTCTCGAGCCCTCATCATCCTACGCTCCCTTTCCTCCTCGTCTTCAGCATCCCTCCCCGAGCCAGAGAATCAGAGAACACGATAATCTTACAAGAACAATGTCCCTCCTCCTCTTCCCCCTCCTCTTCCCCCTCTTCGTCCTCCTGATTTCCTTCCCTCTCCCCTCCTCCTCCTCCTCTCCTCCTCCTCCTCCTCGTCCTCTGTCCTCTTCCTCGTCCTCCGTCCTCGTCCTCCTCCTCCTCCTCTCCCACCTCTCCTCCTCCTCCTCCTCCTCCTCCTGCTGCTCCTCCTCCTCCTCCTCCTCCTCCTCCTCCTTCTTGTCCTCCTCCTCCTCCTCTCTTCTCTCAACGCACCCAGTGCACGGGTGCCTACTGGACCGCGTGCCGGGAGCTTTTTCGGGAAGCATTGTGGCAGTCTCTGGAGCCTCTCCGGGCCTTCCTTTGGAGTCCTTTGGGGCCTTTGTTGGCCCGTCTGAGGGCCCATTTCGACCGTTCTGGGTCCCTCTTGGCTCGTCGTGAGGAGCTCAGCCCGTCTTGGGGCCCTCCTGGGGCCCTCTCCGACCATGTAGGGAATCCTCTGGTGGCCCCCTCGGGCTTCCTGGGGGCTCTCTTGGGCCGTCTTGTAGCTCTTCTGTGCCGCTTGAAGCTCTCTTCAGCCCATCTTGGAACCCTCTTTTGGGCCTCTGGGGCCGTCTGGGGCCCACTTTGGGTAACCTCTTGGGCCGTCGCAGCCGCTGGTAGAACTGAAAAGCGAAGCTACCATAAATATACGTTTTTCCAAAGGAAATGCTTAATGTTTGCATTTAAAGGGCCTTCTCAGCGACCTCTTGGACAGTCGTGGGGGGGTCATTTCGGGCCTTTTCTGGCCTGTCTTGGAGCTCATTTCGGCTGTCCCAAGCCCCTCTTGGCATGTCATGGGTAGCTGGGCCGTCTTGGGGCCCTCACGGAGCCCTCTCCGACCATGTAGGGATCCTCCGGTGGCTCCCTCGGGCCCCCTTGGGACTCTCTCGGGCTGTCTTGAAACTCTCTTGTGCTGCTCGACGCTCTCTTGAGGCTGTCTTGGGGCCCTCTTGGGGGCCTCGTGGACCGTGTGGCGTCGATTGACGTGGCCGCCGATGGAACATAAGCAGCGAATCTCGTACGCTTTTCCATGGGAAATGCTCGTTTTTTGCACCCGGGAGCCTTCTCAGCGGCCTCCTGGACCGTCTTCAGGGAGACCTGGTAGGCCTTCTTTGGACCCTCTGGAAGCCCAGTTCGGCCGTTCCAGGTCCCTCTTCGCCCGCCATGGGGACCTGAGCCCGTCTTGGGGACCTCGGGGAGCCCTCGGGGGCCCTCTCCGACCATGTAGAAATCCTCTGGTGGCCCCCTCGGGGTTCCTGGGTACTCTCTTGGGCCGTGTTGGGGCTCTCTTGTGCTGCTTGAAGCTCTCTTCAAGCCGTCTGGGGGCCCTCTTGGGGGCCTCTTGGGCCGTCTGGGGCTCATTTTGGGAGCCTCTTGGGCCGTCGCGGCCGCTGGTAGGACTGAAATGCAAATATCCAAGAAATATGCGTTTTCCCATACAAATGTTTGCCCTTGGAGGGCCTTCTCGGCGGCCTCTTGGACCGTCTTGAAAGCCTTTGTGGCCGTCCAGGGGCAGTCTTGGGCTGCCTTCGAGCGCTCGTGGCCCGTCCAGAAGCCATCTCAGTGCGCTCTTCAGCCACCTTCCAGACAACCTGGGGCGCTTTGGGCGCCTCTTGGGCCAGCTTGGGAGGCTCTGGGGGAGTCTGGGGCCCCTTCTGAGCCCTCTTGGAGCCCTCAAGCCCCCCCGGCCCCTCATACGAACCAGAGGCAGCAATTCTGGGCCCTCCCCCGGCCTACTCCGATATCTATATATATATATACACACACTAGAACCATCGCGCGCGCTTCGCACGCGCTCAAGTTCGAGCTAGGCTTGATAGGCTAACTCATGTAATATCCTTTTGGTCGCTTCTTGCGTCCAGGGAATCCCTTGGATGCCCTGCGCAAGCCCCGGAATCGTATAGAAGGGGAAGTGCGGAAACGCAGAAATCATTAATTTACTTCAGGTATTTAACGATTTGGGGCCCTCAAAGGCTTCCTGGGTTCTTTTTTGGGAGGTGAGGGGGGGTCTGAATTGTGGTCTGTTGTGCAAGAGTAGACTGGGGGCCAAACTTGAAAAATAAAGAAATTGTGGGAATCCCATTTTTGGTCCAGTAGCTCGGCGCTGTTCGGCGCTGATTTTTGTTTGTGCCTCGCGGGTTTTGGTAGCCGGGCCCCTCAGGGGTGTGGGATCTTCCGGACCCTCTGGGGGTTCTGGAGGCCTCCTGGAGGCCTGGAGAGCCGTCGGAAGAGTGTCTCGGTCTGCGCGGGAACGTGGTGGGCCGTTCTTGACGTTCTGGGGGATCCTTGGGGTCGTCTTTGGTGGCTGTCCTTGGGCGTATTGGGGGCCCCCCGGGAAGCCGGGAGGCGCGGTACCGGCCAGATGTCAAGGGATGTGTAGAACCTCCGAGTCGGAGTCCCACTTTGAAACAAACATTTGGATTCTGGTAATTTTTTTTCAGAGTCCTCGATCTTCGAGGGTTGGAAGCTGGGAAAACGTGAGAATGCGAAAAACATTAGAGAAACCATTGGAAATCAACGATTTTACCCTCTTTGGGCTCTCCTGGGACGTCTCTTGCAGCTCTCTTGGGCTGCTCTTGGAGACTCGTCGGGGTCTTTTTGGGGCCTCTCAAGGATCGGGGGTGTGTTGGGGGTCTCTGGGTGGTCCCGGAGGCCTCTCGGAGGTCTCTAGAAGCCTCCTGCTCCCGCTCTTGGGCCGATCTTGGGCCT